AGCATATACGGCTCAACTACAAAACATAAGAATTATTAATAACATATCATAAAATAACAATACCTGATAAATAAAAATGCTTATAAAATTTTTTTAAGAAATAACAATAAATAGGTAAACTAATAAACTTAATAAACTATTTCTCTTACTTTCTTTTTAAAACATTGTAAGGTTAACCCAAAAATATCAATATTATTTAAGTTTTTGTTATAAAAATCCAGAGAGCGTCTAAAGAAACCATTTTTAGAATAATTTGTTCTACTAAATTTGCATGAAAAGGTGGCTTTAGAACGCAAGTAGGTGCGAACTGGAACTCTTAAATTAATTTTTTGTAGTAGTTCTGATTTGAACAAGCCCTTCATTGTTTGCTAAATATGGTTCATTCTGTCGGTATATTCTGTATTCATTTTTCAGTAACTCATTTTAACGTCGTAAGTATTATAATCAGCTTTAGTTCGCTGCCAATTAATTAATTTTTTTCGGAACCTTCATTCTTTGCCATATTTTAAATATATAAAATATACGCCACCTTGGCCACAATTCCACCTAATGTTAATCTTGCAAGCCTTGAGTGATGCGCCTGATTAGTGCGCATGTGCCTGACAGCAACACTAATTAGTGTTGCAACACATGATTATCCGGGTCTGAAATTACGGAATTAATTTTGATATGAATACCAGAACACCTAGACAAGTACAGTGACAGTTATCGCTAGCGACCGCGTAATATGTTTACATCGAGTATATAATCAGAAATAGAGACAATAATGTCATTTATTTCTTTAAAAACTATTCTGCAATATCATTACGGTGCCTTGCGATTGGCCAGCCTGAATTCGAAACAATTGACGGGAGTCGTCAATTGTTAGCGAGCATGTATCACGAGTTTATCCATGGAAGTGCGTCCAGCATACCTGTTTATGTCGCCGAGCAGTGATGTGAGCGTTACTGCGTTCTGGTTTCCAGAAAACTCTTGTAATCGTACTCGCGGTAACAATCAGGTACGGAAGAACCAACATGACGGGAGTAACGGTAAAGTCACAAAGCCTTCTTCAATCGACGCTCTGTTTTTACGAAGCCACATAATAAATAAATATTGAGAGATAGCATAAAGATCCACGCAATCTAGTTTGCAGTAGAGCTCGTACAGGGAAGTACTGCCACGAATTATGTATTCAATACTGCGTTGGAAACTACAGACACTTGGGTTTTCTCAAATTTATATCTCAGGGTGACGGGCGCAGTGGCAGAGCTCCTCAGATCTTTGCGATTTAAAGCTCTTGAGTGGCACTGCAATGGATAGGCTGGGCTTAAAAAAATGTGACACTTATACTAGTGGAGCAGGTGAAAGAGGTTATCCGGAGCGTAGCGAGTGGAGGTTCGAGGTCTCTGACCACTCCAGTGGAACACATGTGTGACATACTGGCAAGTTAAATAAAAATTGACAAGACGTAGCGAACTGGGCTCATGACTATAAAAAAGACATGTCGTTATTTAGCGTAAATGTTTGCAACCTCTGCAAATTCACTGTAAAAGAAGCTATTTGTCTCGAGACGATTTGAAATTAAACTTATACGCAGTACCAGCAATCGTGTGATGGAGAATAATAAGCGCTAAGTTTTCAAACTCGTGGACCTACATAACTTCAAATTACCTTTTTCCCATACACAGCACACTAGCGCATATTGTACGTTGAAATCAATATCTTTACCAAACGACAAAAACAACTTTCGGAAAACAACGTTTAAAGTGTAAAGATATGAAAATAAGTTTTATTTATGGTCAATATTGCACGTAATATTGCACGTTCAGAACAATTTCTGAACGTTCAATAAATAAATAGCAAGCCGTACTTGCCTTGCGCAAAATAAAGAAAGAAAAATACATTCATTTGACTACCACAAATGTTTACAATACCACAATTCTGCCGTCCTAATTGAAAGTGCAGTAACTAGCATTTTTGACGAAATTGAGTTAAATGAATAATCGTTAACACCAAAACAAGATCTAGAAATGGCTCTAACTCACGTATCAAAATTCCCATCGGAACACTGTAATACAGGAAGTAAAACTGCAGTAACTTACTACAATGTATAACATTTGCTAATTTAAACTGCAGTAAGATTAGTTGTTATATAATTTTTGAGTCAACGGCGATGGAATTCTAGCAATAATCGCAGTATCTAATAGTTGCTGCACTTATTTTATTTATGTTTTAAAACCTTAACATACATATATAAATATGTTACCTTACAATTCTTCATTCTTTTACCTTTCTATTGATATATGCCATGTTGCTGTAACTTGCGTAGTTTTGAAGCTAGAGTAAATTTTAAATTATTTTCTTTAACCACGTTTTTCTCGGAAACAGGTTTGGCTTAGTTACTGCACTCTTAGTTAGGAGGGCAGATTGTGAGCAATACTTTCTTTTCTCTTATGTATTTTTTCCGTACTCGGAAACAAAATATTATGAAGTAGATGTACCTAGGTAGATTAAGTGTATACTTTGAAAGCAACATTTTTTCTTTATTTTGTATATTATGAAGTTAATGTGAATATCAAAGTTTGTGTTTTATTTTAATTTCCATTATTTTCTCACTTATATTTTGGAGACCGAACAATAAACATGTCTCTGTAAACCAATATATTTCACTTTATTACATACGTCCATCCTAAAAATTTGAAAATTAGAAACATCACCAAACAAGTCTAAAAGTTATTTAAAAAAACAAAAACCCGACTGCAAAAATATTTAGCTGGAAAGATTAAAAAATATTTTCCCCCAATTAACTTTATTTGATGTTCCCCTTCACTATTTTGATTATTTTTTTATAGTCAAAGTCAAAGATTATTTATTCCATAGGTAAAATAAATTTACACTTGGAAACGTCACATTTAAGCTACTGCTCGTTCACTACGCTGACCTCCCTGAGAAGAACGAGCAAGAAACTCTAGGGATTGCTCTTTTCAAATAAACTTAGATGCTATGGAATATACTTTGAATCAAATTTGTGTGGATTCTGGAGCCATGTCCTCTTTCCATACATCTTTATCTAACACGTAGTCTTCAATTTTGTAATATGATTTTTCGATCAAACTATTTTTAATGTAGTTTTTAAACTTAGGAAATGATAAACTTAATATATGCTCCGGAATCTTATTGTAAAAACGTATACAGTTCCCTATAAAAGAGTTGTTTACCTTGTTTAAACGAAATCGTGGTACCATGAGTTTGGACTTAGTTCTAATGGTAATATTATGGATATCTTCTTTCTTATTGAAATTATGTAAATTTTTACGGGCATATAAAATATTTGAGTAAATGTACTGTGATGCCACAGTCATGATACCAGTCTCCTTAAACTTTTCTCTGAGAGATACCCGAGAGCCTAGACGGTACACAGAACGAATCGCTCGTTTTTGCAATACAAATATGGTTTGAATATCTGCCGCTTTACCCCACATGAGAATCCCGTAGGACATTATACTACGGAAGTAACTAAAGTAAACTAGTCTAGCAGTACTAACATCGGTAAGCTCACGTATTCTGCGGACTGCGCATGCAGCGGAGCTTATAGCCTATGTCACTCCCACAATCAAGACGAATCTAACGACACCTCATGTGTCAAAATCCATCAAGCCGTTTAGACCGTACAGCGTGAAAAGACATGGACATACATACATACAATTGAAAAACTAACCCTCCCGCTTTCGAGTAAATATTCACACGTAAGACACAAATAAAAAATATTACAAAACAAAATTAAATTAAATTGAAACACTTATGTTATACACTTATATTTGGTAGCAGTAGAGCTCCTTGTGAAAGAGTTCGTCCAGGGAACGCCTTTTAAATACCTGGGGCGCACTATAGGTTTCCGGAATGAATAAGAAAAAAAATACTAT